GTCCCACTACTAACCTAAACAAATTTGATTAAAATTTTATTTAGTTTGGTAACAAAAAAATAGAGTCAATATTATTCTAGGTAAAATTTTGTGTCAATTAACTATTGTAAGAAATTACTTTAATTAACAAATCTATTAATTCTTAAAAACGGAAGTTAACTATTGTCCTTGATTGCTTTAATAAAAAACACAAGATGAATAACATTGTTCCAATTAAAGCTCAATGATGAGAACACTAATTAGAAGGAATACATTTTCTTTAATTAAATTTAGAGAAAATAAGTTAGTGTAAAGCAAAAACTAAAACTAAAACTAAATTATTTATTAATAAGAGTATGCATATATGTGTATATATCATTGTCAACTTTCAATTTATGGAGCATATGTTAGTGTACCTTATCTTTCATAACAAACTGAGGATAATACAGTTAAAAATATGGTTCACATTGTTTTAGCAACAACCTTTCATAACAGTCAAAAAATTCCAACCATCCATATTTTCTGCACTCCACTAATAACAGACATTTTGGTGATTAGGGTCTATATATAATGAGACTTTAGACTTTGTAATCTCTGAGCTCATTCTTGGATTTATGTTGTACATCATCTGTGCCTGACAGCTAAAGCTTGGAAGGCTCACAAAGTGCTCACATAGTCTCGCTTACTACTTAACTGGTGGACTACTTCAACCCATTATTAGAACAAAAGGGAAAGCAATAGTAAGAGATATTTATAACAATTACTTTTTTTTGCATTAGATCTAATTGCTTCTGATTTTTTTTATTTTTTTTTGGTACATAATTGCTTCTGATTTTATATGAGCATGATTAGACCATAAAGATATTTTAGAATTTACAGCATATTCCACGATTAATCGAAACACACGCACCATATATTGTGGTCTCAAATTTTTGATTGAATGATTAAAATAGGTTGATTGACCATTGTGATTTATTTTTCAACATGAGCCACTTTCCCTCCTATCAGTATTCTCTTTGTGGATTTCCACTGGATGAAAGTGATCAGCCTTTTCAACCAGCCCCGCCACACGATGAAAACTCTGCTTTCTCTGTTTTCATGCAGATATATCAATATTCCATCAACTTCACAATTGATATTATTTGGGCCTGAAGTATTTTTGAGTCTCAATCCAAGCACCTCGTTTGGAATCAGCTTTTCTTGCATAATTATTGAATATTCGAGCCCTTTAACTCAGCCACTTGCCTAGGATACGTTACTTCTTTGCAAACCATTATTGAGTGCCAACGAGTTCTTTCTGATTTTTTTTATATAATAGATTTTAACAATGTTATTAAACCCGGCCCGGTTATTGACCCGGTCGAGGTACTGAGTCACCATTTCAAGCAATGGGTCATTGATTCAACCGCATGATCCGGTAAGTATATGTAAATCTACAATTTATATTAAAAAAATTATAAATATACTTAAATATTTGTAAAAAAATATACCAATTTCAAATATTTTAATATGAAAATAATAAATTACACATCATTGTCTAACAAAAGATCAATCAAACATATAATATTTGTGATACTAGGGTTCAGTAAACGACATCTCTAACTATAAATCAAATCAAAATTCTCTGCATATTGCATAATCAAGATAATATTAGTGTTGTAGGTACATAATATATGTAAGTTAATAAGCTACAAATCACTCAAATATTTCAAAAGAAAATAATTCATTTGTGTTTGAGAGTAAAAAAAAAGACATTAATTTATGAAAATAAATTAGTTTTTTTTATAGACTGAACCGGGTCACCGGTTGAACCGACCGGGTCACCGATTTTTACGAAAATTGGCCGGATTGCACTGGGTCGCATCGGTTCTGTAACATGGCTAGTCCAATATGAAAATCAGACCGGTTACATGATCGGTTCACCGGTTTCTGGGTCGACCCGGTCGGGTCGGTCCGATTTTTATAACATTGGATTTTAACATATAATGTCATGCAAATTATTTAAATTTATTATTATTAACTCACTATTAATTAATTGTTTGATATAACTCGTACTTGCATTCTTATGACAACTTTTATTAGCGGGACTTAGAAAAGCCAATGGGGATTCCGCTAAGCTATTATTTCTTGGTCTTGTTCGATCCAAGGGGATCGAGGGTGTCCAATAAGAGATTGATGAGTCTATATAAGATCAATATACTCTTAGATATCTATGAGAGAGATATCTTAGAGGGTTGCAGATCACATGATGAACGGCGTAGCCAGAGAGTGGGAGTGTGTACACAATAACAGCTAAGAGAGAGCATAAAGCAATGTGTATCTGATTAGCTTAACCCCTTATTTATAGGGCTACTTGGTATAGTAGTGAAATTTTGGACCTCTTGGAAATATTGGAGGCCTGATATTCGAATCGCTGGTGATATGGTAAGATTGATATCTTATCAGGCAAGATTATTTTCTTATCTTTCTCAATTGATTGCTCATTGTGGGCTATCAAGATATGCGCTCATAAGTTGGGTCCGTAACTTATGAATAACTACTGTTACTTAGGGTTTCTAAACTTATTTATCTTCCCCTTATAAACCGAGAGCTTTGTAACGGTGAGGAGAATAAAGTGAAACATTACTAGACATAATTCTTAAATTCATGATGTTTTGAATGCAAAATGGAGCCTTAAAAGACTAAAATATGAATTTAATGTCTTAAATTGTTAGTATTGAAATAATGAGATGAATTGTTATTAAGTTATTTTCTTAGGATTAATTAAGTTAATTTTTATGCTTTTTGGTATTTTAGATGATTGGAAAGATATGGAGATGCAAATATTATGATTGTTGGCTTGTTGCAAAAAAAAGAAGAAGATAAATCTCATTCAAAAGATTTGACACATAAGTGCCCAAAAAATAAAAGCCCAATCCTAATGCCTAGGCATTGACATGTTTGTAATTACTACCCTTATTATTGCGATATAGTTTAATTTGGAAAAGCCTTTATGATTTCTTTTGTCTTTATTTTTGCCATGAATATCTAATTTTCTTTGTAGTTAGAATTAGATGGAATCCAATTGAATCGTTAAGTTTTTGAATTAATCTTCGATGCAATTTTCACTTTTCATATTGAATAAATTTGCCTATTCTTCATGCTTGCTTCTATGAATCAATCTTCTTATAGACCGATCTAAGGTTCATGTATGAAAATATGGATGATGGTATATGAATTGATATTGATAAATTCATCATTGATTTGTATGAATTTGGGGATAGACATATGAGTTGTTCAATCCTTATAACATTTTTATATTTCTTGCTTTTAATGCTTGAACCATTTTAGGAAACATCAAAGAATTATGATTCTTTAAAGGGGGTAATGAGTTAGAATATGGAGAGATTGTGTTTTAAGTTTTAACTAAGGGAAAAATGTTTGTCATTTTAAATGACATAATACTCTCTCCTTTTAAGAGAGAGACAGACACAGAAAAAAAAATTATTTAAATTTTAAATTAAAAAAAAAACCATCAACTTTCTCTCTCCCATGATTTTCATTTTTCTGTGTCTATCTCTTTCCTAAAATGACAAAACTTATGTTATTTAAAATGACAAACACCAAACTCTTTAACTAAATTAGATGAATTGATTCACAGTATAAAAATTACGATCTCGATGCATGTCGATCCCTTTGGGAATAATAATAAGAAAACAGTTGAAAGATACAACTAAAAGCTCTATAAGCAGTTATCCAAAAAAAAAAGCTTAAAAAAATTTAGTGAAATTATCCGTGAATAGTACCGGTATATCAATAATTCGCTGGGCGTCTTTTGAGTTGAGTTGTAAAACGCGCTTAGCCCTCCCTCTCATGTGATTTAATCCGGAAGACAAATAGTTCAAAATTCCAAAAGATGGTAACATACACATTAATCGCACTTTATATTAAAATGCTGACATACACCTTAAATAAGGTATATATGATATGAGTTGGATTTAGGGCTCTTTGTATTGCCTTTTTAAGAAAGTCTTTTTTATCACTTCCTTATTTTAAAAGTACTTTCTATAAAAGTGACAGCTATTTAGATTTTTTTTAAAAATATTTGATTTTTGAAAAAAATATTGTCTTTTGACTTCTGTTTTTTTTTTTAAAAACAGGCATCCAAACAGACTTTTTTTAGAAATACTTTTTTTTCTTAAAAAAAGCAACTTTTGAAAAAAAAAAAAAAAACTTATTCAAACGGGCTCTAAAGCTAACTACGTAAATGATTTCTCTAAATGCAGTAACATGTTTCCATATTTGCACTAATATCTTTTCAGAAGGTTGAAGGTTTGAATCTTAAATGTGAGGATAGAGACTTAAAATAAGGGTAGAATGATGATAAAGCTTCTAGTGCACAGGATTAATCGAAGAGTACGTAATAAACGACGTTACTTTACATTTATAAGACATGAATTGAATCTGTAATACCTGGGTCACATAGTCACAAGACACTAGTAAATTTTGTAATATATTTATATCGGATGGAATGTTTAACACAATTATTTTCTTTCCGATAATCGTCATTCTCGGCATTTTTGTGTTTTCTGGAACAACAACCTTAAATTTTTCCTCCGAATGCGCCGCCACACCACGACACGTGGGGCCCACCCCCTTAACAGATTCCCTCGCTTCCGGTCCTCCCGACACGTCCCTTCCAGCGCACTCCTTGCACCAACTGAAATTCCCAAACTACCCCTTTCCAAATTCTCATATCGCCAACGTGTCACATCCCCATTGGCCATCACACTTTCCCCATAACAAAATTTGCATGCACCATGCACAATCCACAAACTCTATATATACAACAAACAACACATTCATCCCTCCAAATCCTTGCCTTACTTTAACCATCTCCACAAAACCATAACAATCCAAACCATAATCTTCATTTTTTTTTTTTTTGCCTCATTTACATTTAAAGCAAACCCATATATAATTCCATAATTAACTTTACCTTTCATTTCTCTTTGTTGTGGGTGATTATCAAAACCAAAGCCATGAGTCCTACACAATTCCGTGCAAAGAAAGAAATCACCTCTACCAACAATAACATTAATGGATTGTTGCCACCACCTTTAAAAATCAACAAGGATTCTCATCTCATCAAGAAATCATCTTCATCGTCGTCATCATTACCATCATCGTCTTCATCATCATCATCAACATCAACATCATCCTCACTTGGCAATAACGGGATGGCACCGGCAGTGCCAGCCTCATCGAATAAGCCACCGCAGCGCCATCCGGTGATAATCTACACACATTCTCCAAAGGTTATCCATACTCACCCAAGGGACTTCATGGCATTGGTGCAAAAGCTCACTGGGCTCACGCGCTCAGAGGACGGCGGCAACAACAACAATAACTCGCCGGCACAACAACAACCAAAGCAAGAGCCAGGGAGCCGCGTCGCGGCGGTGGTAGGGGACAAGGAGAGCGACCACAAGAATGTGGTTGTTGTTAGAAACGAGGACAATGAGACATCATCGGTGATCACCGAGGAGAATAACTGTAGTAGCTGCAGCAATGGTGAAAATCAGGTTAACTCGTGTTTGGTGGTGGCGGAGCCACCGATGATGGAGCCACAGTTGAACCCTTACATGACAAACTTGCCAGTGGGGGAGTTCATGTGCTCGAGCCAGCCATTGTTGAACTATGCGGATTCATTGTTCTTCTCTCATAACATGAGGACTTCTATTCCATCATCAGCCACCTTGGAAGGGATGAAAGATTTCCGTCAATATTGATTATAGTTGAAGTTTTTTTTTTCCTTGTTAAATTTTTGGTGCCAATAAAAGTTCTAGTTTTCCAGGGATAGAACTTCATTTATTTATTTTTTTCATTTTTCAATTCTTTTTTTGAAGAACTGAGGATTTATTTATTTTATTTTTTTGGATAAAAAAGTTGTATCTACAAATTATTCCATTTTTTTAATAATTTGTTTCATAGATTTGTAACTGAATAATAAAGAAACATGCAGCTTTCTATGTTGATATGTATTCTATCATCATGATCCTTTATTTGTTAGCTTTTCAGAATTGAACATGCTTTCTGGTTCATCTTTGTGTACACAGTTAAGGAAAACACGAATTCATTGTGAATCATGAAATAAAGGAGCATGCAAAAGTCTTCAAGAGATAAAATATTGGTTGGAAAAGAAAAAACAGTTATAGTAAAATTAAATGATAAATTGGAAGCATATCAATGATTGTGTAATGTATGGTGATTAATTATAAGAACGAATCACAGGTTTTTTTCCCCCCCTTTGAATTCAGTTTCAAACCAGAAATGACAATTCAGAGTTTAAACGAAACAAAATACGTGAGACTATATGGGGCAATAAAAATAGCTTGCCCTAACAGTCTTGATCTCTAAACAATTATTAGTTATAGGGATTCATTTTTCAAACATATGTTACATTTCTCAACGTGACAATGTCATTTTTGAGAGAACCGCACAAATGACAAGAAATTAGCAGATATATATTGATGAGTTGATGGCAGCTTTTATTTCCTTTTATTTCTTGATGATAAATTACATATATTTTGGGAGGATAAAGGGTTATGGAACATGTTCTGAGCTGGATAATAATTAGTGGCAAGTCTTGGGCTAAATTTTGGGTCCAAACAATATATTTTCCAAATTGTTTGTCCCAACATATCATTGTAGCACAATAGAGAAGAGATCCTTTGTCAATTCACTAATTAGAAGTTAAAAAGAGTGTGTTGCTCAAATAAAATTATAGGCACTTTTAGGAGGAAGAGAATCATTTCATTAATCTAATTACTTTGCTTCCACTATTGAATTGTACACTTCAAACATCTATACACGAGGAAAACAGTATTCAACATAAACATGTACATAATCTCACAAAATATTACACCATCACTTTCTCTTCTTTTCCTCTTTATCTGTTTCAAGTGTAACAGGAGCTGCTGGTATGCTGAACCACCATTCCCTCATTCTCCTTGTCCATCTCTCTGTGCTAGCTTTCCTTGGAGGTGAATACTTTGTAAAAATCTCCAAGAAGACTAGCAGAACTATGTACTTACTAGGCAAGAAAGCAAAAATCAAGGCCATTGATAGAAGACCAAAGGCCAACTTCTCCGTGGCCTGATCATCATATAAAGGAACCAAGTATTATTATGTGTGACACAAGTATGAAAATTAAGATTAAATAAACTTGTCAAAATAATTTTTCAACAAGTGCATCCATGCTTCTTTCTAGACAAAAATTAATACAAATCAGGAAAAGGGAATGAGAGAACACCTGAGGAAGAATTGACAGCAACAAGCCGCGGAGCTTGAGCAGAATTACGTTACCATCTTGTATAAGTTGTTCAGCTTGAGAAACAGCATTCTGAACAGCCAAAAGCTGTTCCACTGTATTCATTGGTGGAGGGGCTATTACTTTAATTTCACTAACAGCACTATCTTGGCCAAAATATCGGGTAATTATCATAAAAGCAGCAAGTAACATAAGCACCAGTGCCACTGCATACCCAAGCCAACCCCTGCAATAATCAGATTATTTAAGTCACCAGAAAAAGGCAAATAATCTATCATTACAAGGGGTTATTGCTTTGTCTTTTGTATCACATCATATTATATCTAATCAATATCAATTCCAGATTATTCAGTCTCTTTTTTCCCTTTCCTCCTTCCTTACCTAAAAACCCTATAACTTCAACAAACAAAACTTATAGCTGCTGAACCTATAATTGCTTAGCAAGCCGCGTAAATGCTTAAATGTTCAATGTTTATTGAGTTTATTCCCAAAACTTTTTCTTATTGCAATTTACAAATAGTACCCATATGAAGGAATTTTCAACAATTACATAAATTTCAATAAAAAAATATCTCCTTTCTCTTCCGCCTCTCAACAAATAACAGGTCAATAGAATACTGATCAGTCTATGAAAGTTTTACCTGCAGATGATGTAACCGAAGAACAAACAAAACCCGGAAGACTTCCATGGATCATCCCAATTTGCCAAAGATTGAAGAGACTTCCTAAGTTCATTTAGAGGAAAAAGTAACTCCTGAAAGTTGAGGTAAATGACAAGTATTAGAGTCAAAATAGGATAATTAACAGAAGCTGGCTTTACTATTCTAAATTTGGAATAAGTAGGAGCCGTAAAACCATAGGATTCAATTTGCACTCTCCAAGTAGGCAAGTAGATTTGGCTATTCAACAATTTGGCTTCATTCTATTTATTATTCCTTCATTTAGGAAAAGAAGAAAGAAGTTGTGCATTGTAAAACATGCACATTACATGCCCCTACTCAAAACGCTTGCACATGTTTGCAGATTTTCTTATCAAGAGTAAGTAGAATCTATAGTCTAATGCATCTTTACAAATTACAACTAAAATGCAATACCCTCTTGTTTGACTAATATTCTTCATTACCAGTATTGGCAAAAGCAAAACCGTAAAAGCTTGACTAAAAGGTAAAAGAGGATGATAAGCTAGTACCTTCATGATAGCCATATTAGTGTCTATACCATCAACTTTAACACCGTCAACTGTTGCTTGAGCAGATACGACCTTTTTATAGTTGTTCTTAGATTCTATAACCACTCTCTCCAATGAAGTCATTTCTCCAACAGATATTTCACCCACAGCAATCCTGCTCTCATTTGAGTTGTTTGAACTTGCTCCAAACACAAATCCTAAGTTCGAAACCATGTCCAAGGCCGAGATAGAATACATTCCACTTCTAGCCCTGAAATCATTATCGGAACCTGACTCCCTTAAGTTTGACATATTTGCAAGGGTTTCTAATATCAAGTCTCCACCTGGAAGCTGATCGCATAAATTAAACATGAGAAGAGCATCATTCCGTATGGGGATTGCAGAACCAACATCTTGAATGGCTTGTAAACGCAAAATTCCTAAAAGAGCCTTCCAAAGTACTTCATCCCGCGCAATCCCTTTAATTGTATACTTGTTTATGAATTTGTGAACATAAAGAATCTCTTGGATGACAGCAAGCCAATAATCACGACGAGCATGACCTCTAAGCTCCGGAAATTCTAGGACAGCTGGTTCTGATCTACAAGAGAAATACTTTTGAAAGTTGATAGCGAGATGATTTTTCAGCAGCTATCCATTATCTATAAATTTAAATGTGCAATTACTTACAAGGATGCTGAGCTATAGAAGACTGCCTTGTCAAAAAGTCGAGTACCCCATGGTCCAGTCAACTCAGGTTTAACAACTTGTTTTAGATCGTCCGATAAATCATACCTTTTTGGTTTGTCATACGATACAACGCGGAATGCTTCAAAATAAAGTGCATGATCTGTCAGGATTAACCTTCCTGCACGCATGCCAAAAGAAGAGTCACTAAAGTCCTTAAGAATAAACAGTGCATACATCTACTTTATCAGTGAGCATATATAATATAATTTGACAGGAACATATGCTAGATAAAGATGGTGTATATTATTTTCACTCACTTACCAGGCCAGGTGGATATTCCTACATGCTCAAGGACTGGCTGTGTGGTGACTGTTCCATCAACCTCAAGAATCTTCTCTCCTTTAGAGGATCTTACAGCAGAAAGGAGAGACGACTCTGAATTGCTCTTCATTTTTCTTATTGCTCTGTAAAGATTAACAAAAAATCAATACAAAATTTTTAAGAATACACACACACACACACACACTAAAATTACAAACCCTGTTGAATCACAAACTGAAGCAGATATAAAATACAGACCTTTGAAATTATCATCAACCATAAAATACAAAACTATACTGAAAATGTATCAACCTCTTAGTACTTAAAATTGTCAAATTTTGGTATTTCAGAATGAGATTACAAAGCAATGAACTTTGACTTTAACCCACAAGCCTGTCTAGCAGAATAGCCATTACATATATGTGGATACACTAACCTGAATTTTCAGTACAAAATTAATAAGCTGATCATGCACAAAAGCAGGAAAAAGGGTTTGCTTAAATAATAAGTTTACTGCTTTGAGTCTTTAAACTATAGCATCCCTTTTTTCCTATTGTTAAAGGGTACTGGTAAAACCAACTAAGTTTGGATGCTTTTTGTGAGGGACCTCTTCTACATACCATCAGCATGAACATTAATTCTGAGGGTTCGGTAAATTTCTCAAAAACTACTTTTGAAAAATTGTTACTGAATTTTGAGTATAAATAAAAACTTGTAATGGATGTTTTCAAAGCTTTCAAAAAATAAATGTGTTTTTTTAATAATAAAAAGTTCACCAAAGAAGAAATAAAGTACATAATAGTTTATTATTATGTGATTAGGAAAGACTTCGTGGTATTCAATAGTAGCTACTTGTAGTGCACACAAAGTAGAGGGTTTAATTATAGAGGTGCTACATCAGTATTCAATCATAACTATACAAAGCCCTATTTCTGAATTATGTTTCATATTGTTCCCTCTCTAGTCCTCTTCCCTTTTCCATCTGCTTAAAATTTCAACCAGTATCAGAGCCAAGCAGTACCATCCATATCCTTGTAAGCCAAGTCTCCCAGTTTCATTCTATTCTCAAATCAGAGAATAATTGTTTCAGAAAAATTAAGTCAGGATTATACTACAAAACGTCACTTTCTTGTGCTAAAAATTAGATATATTAATATTTTCTTTCAACTGAATAGAATTCTATCAAACAATACCAAGGGTGAATCAGTCTAAGCAGATGTATATGCAGTTAGTTTCCTTTTAAAAATACAAAATAAAAGTGAGAGCTATATATGTTCAGCACTCCTACTGACCTGCCTCAAAAAAAATGAAGAAAGGAGAGAAGACCAACAGAAACACTCAAACAACATGTAGAAAAGGCAGGAAAGGTGGCTTGCATAAAAGACACTTGGAAGTCAAAGGAATACCACAAGAAGTCGAAAGCAATAACATATTTCAAGGTAAAGGTCATTGTTACCTTTCTAGGCTACTGAGGTACTTGTCATACATGGGGAACTGTAGGCGACCACCAGTTGATGAACTCAGCACCTCAAAAAGATTTTCACTAATGATGACATTGGCAATGATAGGAATTGCAGGAGCTATTCGACAGAAAGCTTCTAAACCAACAGATACATCCTCATCGACCTTCTAGAAATTTTTAAAACCAATATTAAGAAAAACCAGAGTACTAAAGACACAACAAACAAACCCATAATATGTATATATAACACATGGGTATAGACAAATAAGAGGATATACTATTAATAAATTATATTTATTTGATATGGCCATTTGGGAACTAACGAAATATCAAGTTCAGAGAACAGCAAAGAAGAAATTGAGTATAATTTGCATTCATCCACAGATATGAACAGAAACATTTAACAACAACAGAAACATAAGTTATTTTAAGGATATTATATTTATTTATTTCTTGTACCATACACCACAGTTTATTGTATAATGCCCCCCAATCCCAACAACAAAAAATCATTAGGTAAGATAAGATTCTATATACATCAACACCACCTTTATCCCAAACTAGTTAGGGACAAGATTCTATATATGATTTCAAAATTGTTTCCTGGTAACATTAATCTTCAATACATGACTCCAAGAAAAATCTCACTCATACTGTGAAAAACATACATTAATTAAAGGTTGGCTGGCAGCGGCTGGGACCTCCCAAGCTAACATCATGTCATATGTCAAGCGCCGGAACGTTTTATCAAATAGATAACCAGTCATTTGTGTTGTCAACGAAAGTGCCTTGAAACAGCAATATTCCAATAAGTTCCTCGCATACCGTGATGGATGCTTTATAGAATCAGAAGCCTCTTGATTGAAGCTCTCCTGAAGCTCACTTGAAGAGATCTTAAGAATTCTGCATTTTATTTATTTATTTATTGTTACAGTTGAATTTTCAATCAAAATTATGGGCCATTGTGTCAAACAAACAAACGTAAATGGTCCAAGGCTACCAAATATTCAAACTAAATCCAACAAGAGTGAAAGTTTGAAAACTGATAATGAAGCAATAATTGGTAAGTAAAAGTGATAAGATGCCCATAAATGAACTTACTTTGAGCATCTACGTACAACTAGGTTTGCAACCGGAGATAGCTCTGGGATCCAATTCCTCCCAGCAGAAGGTGAATTTTCCATCTCCTCAAATTCTTCATCAAAGTAGCTCTTCTTACCAAGCAACCAATTAAATGATCCTTCTTTTACCAGACCTTCAAGCATATTTCTGGTTTTACTAGCAACAGCCATCTCCTTTCTCCCCACTATTTTATCAAGTTGGAAAACAAGATACCCAATATCCAGTTTTTCTCAAAGTACTTGCATTTATTGTAACACAAAATGTTGCCAACAAAATTAACTCCTCAAAACCGAATCATCAAACTCCTAATCATAAAAGGCTCAACGCATCCAATCCCATCTGCATGATAAATTGATATTACAGTTGGAGCAGAGTGAGCAAACTTATAGTTATTAAGCTTCAAACCAGTTGTTACAATTTCTGAAAGTCCTACAAAATTTGGGATAACCACAAAGCAAACATGCAAATTGTAAGAGTGCTTAACTAATTGAATCTCAAACAGCATACACACAATCACACTTCCAAATTCATGCAAATAAACTAGAAACAAGGAACATACATTTAATTGAATTACAGATAACCCCAAAATCCAAGTGACCCACCTTTTAAATGCAGAAAAAAATTTCAACTTTGGCAAATGGGGTAAGTTGAAATTGTGAGATTTTCCGTGATCTCAGAGAGTGAAGGGATTGCGAACTAACCCGTTTCGACAAATAGCGAAATTCTTAGGATAACAACATAGACAACCAACTGGGTAACTTGGGTTAGAGACACGTAAGGTGATGTAAAGAATCTGAGTCGGATTAAGAACAGTTTTCAGTGTTGGATAAGCATGAAGAGAGAGAGAGAGAGAGAGAGAGAGCGCTTTACCTTTCTGAAAGGGGAAATATTCGAGTTCTTACCTTATTGGGACATAATCAGGAACTCGCAGGTGAAGAGAAATGGATAACTTGTGTGTTTGTCTCTTCCCAGTGCAGAATACCTTTGATTCCAATTTTATTTTATTTTTAAAAAATCGTCAATATTCTAATTTATTTTAAGAAATAACATATGTCATTTTAAAAGATATAAATTTATATCATTTTAGATCCTAATTATTGATTCCAGTTCATGAACGGTTATAATTTATTTGACCTAATAGATTATAACCGTTGATGAACGAAAATCAACGGTTAGGATCTAAACTGATATAAGCTTATATCCTTTAAAAAGATAGAGATTTTTCCTTTGTGCTCAACTTGTAATATCTTTTCATTTTTTAGTTTTTGTTTTTTTTTTTTTTTTAACTTTATTTTGCCCTTTATTTTGTTAATTCATGGCTTAATTTGACAGAACAGAATATTTGTTCTTAAGTGATAAGATATTAGTTCCAAAGAAAGTTTGTTAAGAGATTTTGTTTTCCAATGAAGTTTAGATGTTGTTAATATAGGGATATGATTTTATGTATACTAATTTCATGTTTATTTTATCTATTTCTTCCCTACATGTAATTGAGATTATAATATAATAATATTGGAGAAAAATAATTTTGTTAAAGAGAAGTAGATGAAACCCAAAGTGGATCGGCTTAGCCGTAGGATTGGCTAGACCCCAGGATAAACTCCTACCAAAAAAATGGAAAAAGTTCAAATTTTAAAGTCACTTACTTGAAAAGAGCTTTACCGTAAATAATTTCCGGGCCCGTAGTGGTAACATACTTTGCTATTGTACAAAAAAAAAAAAAAAAAAAAAAAAAAAAAAAAATTAGACATAATATTGGATCTTGTTATTAAATATTTTTACTTGTATTATATTTTTTTATTTTTTATTTTTTGGTATAATCTGGAGGTATCCTCATTCAACCTCCTCTGGTCACTTTGCTTTCGGGATACAGCCATGTAGGCTAGTCCCTTGTTGGAACAGCGAGTGCATTAAACTTTACTACCGGATGAAGATGAGACTAATCCCCTATTCGAGGAGGAAGACATATCCTTTGACTCCAAAAATTTGCTTGAGGCAGTTTGAACCCATGATTCAAGCAAATTCTTAAAAGCTGAGTGAATGTCAAGAACACACAACAAATTTCTAATATGTATGTGTTTAACTAACTTATTTTGGGCTTAAAATAATTTATAATTAAAATTTTATTAATTTTTTTTTTAAAGTGATAACTCTTGCAAGATATGTTTTTTTCCTTCATTTACAGTCCAAACAATTCAGATCAACCAAAAAATACACTTTTAAATTAACCAAACCAAATTCAGGACAGAATAAAACTGTTTCTTCACCAATATTTTGTTGTCAATAACTGTCCCTTCACCTGATTTTCTGATATTTCGTTGTTCTGAAAATGATGTTTAATAAAAGACACCTTAAAGCTTCAGTACTATTTTAGTGCAATGAATTTATGGACTGGATCAAAAAACAACATTATAAATTATAATCATGGCTTATCAATTGTCATATTCAATGCAACAACCTAAGCACGTGGGGGAAGACAGAAGATTAAGCTCGTTTTCTGCATTCCAAAAGGAGCAAGCGAAACACATGGGCTTAAATTTCTAACATTTGGGCTTTAGCAAGTCCTTCTTTCATTTCCATTTTTGTCACAAAAAATTGGAAGCATTAGAACATTACTCTGGGCCTTTTCATTTTGAAGTTACACGATCAAACTGCTTTTCCAAACAGGGATGGAAAGTTCATGCCAAAAAGGGATGCGAGAAAGAAAAAAACAGAGCAAAGCTTAAAAAACTAAAAAGCCACATTGGGGATGAATTTGATGATTAATTACATACAAGCAACCTCATTACACAATGGCAATTTAGACGTGCACTTTATTTTGCCAGACCAAACAATCTATGCCCAACACAAGTTCGATATACCTCAAATTGTACAAATAAGTTTAGATGTTTGTCTAATGTATGAATCATATAATCAAATTCAATTTAATAAAAACTAAATTCACAATTAGTTTGTTGTGATAAATAAATAGTTGCTAGCTCGCACTAGCATTGTATTTCATTCTTATTGTTGAAGTGTGTAACACCCTGTTCTAGAACCAGTTTGTTAACATTGCATTATGATATTAAGCGCAATTATAATCACGTTGGTTCAATTAGAAATTCGGATAAATTTTTCTTTCTAAGCAAAGTCGGGGGATGCCGAAGGCAGGGCTAGTGACTGGAGTGAAGTCGTAACAAGGTAGCCATACTGGAAGGTACGGCTGGATCACCTCCATTCCAGCAAAAGAAAATGATTCACTTAAAAAAGAAAAATTCTTGCTTTTTTAAAGAATTTGTATGACTTCTCGAAATATAATGACTAAAATAGCTACTGAGAATAATGATCCACGTTAGGGGTGTTCATCAACCGATCCAAACCGATTCAAACCGCGGAAACCGAATCGAAAAACCGATAACCGAAGAAAACCGAAAACCGAAAAATCGAAAACCGAAAAAAAACCGCAAATTTTAATTGGATTGGATCGGTTTTCGGATGGGTTGATGAAAACCGATCCAATCCAAACCGATCCAATATATTAATTCTCCTCTACCTACTTGTCCTTTCCCCAACCATAACCCAAAAACTTCTAAATCCAAGACTCATTAACTCATTAATTAAACAAAAAAAAAACTTAGTCACGTCTCATCAACTATAGTATTGTTTACTGATATTTTTGTATTTCAAAAAATAATAATTTACAAAGCTAATATATACAAAAGATGTTATTTGCACAATAATCATGAAACTAATTTTAGGATATTCAAAAAACCGAAAACCGATCCAATCCAAACCGAAAAAAATTGGATTGGATCGGATCGGATTTGAAAAAAAATCTAAACTGAACGGATGATTACATGATCAAACCGAAAGGATTGGATCGGATGAGTTTTGCCTCCAAAACCGATGCAATCCAGACCGCGAACACCCCTAATCCACATAAAAGAGCTGCATAGACCACTTGTAATACCTGACAACTTGCAAGGATCAATGACGGTCCCTACATACTAACACGAGACTTTTCAGCATATTTTGTCCCCACTCGCACACTTTCTGGGAAAACTTCCCAAGAGGTCACCCATCTCATAATTGTCCTAAGTCAAGCACGCTTAACTATGGAGTTCTTTCGTTCCGGGCTACCGAAAAGTAGATGCCTCTTATTGGTATAGGTAGTACCAATTAATTCTTATAAGTTATTCCCAACTGTACCGTCTCATACCAGCACAGTCTCTGGAATCCCTCTTTTTCGGGTGTTGATTTGATTCATTCATGTACCCCGTTGCTAGAAGCCTGCCAGGAGCCGCTCCTTGTCCATGTCTTTTCGTACCGACGATCACTCCCCGCCCTCGTCAGTTCCCGGGATGTTACAAAGTGTAGTTAATAAATTTGCTCTCTGTTTTTCTTCTAATTTTCTTTATATATCTTTACATCTTCGATGTGTGAAACCAGTTCTTTTGATTAAAAAACCTCCATACAGTGATATATTTAAGGCTTGATTTAAAATATATATATATATTTATGGATTCGTTGATTATCCAATTACTATCAGATTCATTATAAGAGAAACAAGTTACTTATCATTTAAAACAATGGTTAATAGTTAAAATTTGAACATTTATTCTCTCCAGTTCTTTTGATTAAAAAACCTCCATACAGTGATATATTTAAGGCTTGATTTAAAAAAAAAAAAAAAAATTATGGATACATTGATTATCCAATTACTATCGGATTCATTATAAGAGAAACAAGTTACTTATCACTTAAAACAATGGTTAATAGTTAAAATTTGAACATTTGTTCTCTCTTGAAAGAGTATAATTCATGTATTTATCACTACTCAAACGGTACCGATTTTGGAAAAAACATTTTCTATGTAGCAGCCGATGGGATTTGATCTTATGGCTCATGAAGATGTCAAATAACTACTTACCACTAAGCTACGTTCTATTATTGCTCTATTTGCACCATTTGATATATTTATCATATCATTTAATAGAATTGCTTCAAAAGTTACATCTAGTGGGGATCAAACCCTTTTTATGAAGATATAACTCATAGTATATAAAACTAGGCTACATTTGGTTCTTGGTTCAATTGTACCATTTAAAAAATTTATTATATAATTGAATACAAAATTTAAATTTATATACATATCCGGGTCAGGCAGTTGAACCAATAATCCACTTATCGAACTAGTGATCCATTGACTCTGTACCCCGACCGAGTCGACGACCGATCCGGATTTAATAACATCGGTCCAACCTCCTCTAAGTTGTCTCGTTTTGTTTAAGCATATATTAAAATAAAAATATTTAAATTGCAGGACATAAAGTTAATGCAGTAAAATGGGTAAATGATGTCATTGTCTTCAATCAACACATTTTTAATGTATGTACATAAAATATCTATATTGTTTTTTCCATTCAAATAATTATAAATTTTATCTTTTACCTTAATGATTTAGTCTAATGACAAATCATTTCATCATCTTCTTCTAAAATCTCAAGAATAACTTTATATAATCACCGAAGAGCTTTAATTTTATTTTTTAAACTCTCTATTTATTTTACTTTAGCTTGAATGTAGCTTTTAGCTTAATAAAAAATGTGTGTAGGTGTGCGTATGTGGGCGCGCGTGTATGTGTGTGTGCGCGCGTGTATGTGACTCTGGTTAAAAACTAAGGTAAAAAATCCTTAGGGGACATTTGCTTCCGAGGAAAGTGAATTTACTAGAAATGTTTTCAAAAAATTATTTGATAGGCCAAAATATTTTTAAAAATGTTGGCTTAAGTTTCCTGATATTATATTTGGTTGATTGTTAATAATTTTTGAAAATGCAGGCTAATTTTACAAAACTAACCCTAAAAAAAAACATTCGAGCAATAGCAACAATCAGAAAGCAAATCTAACAAAAGGGAATTCACAAAAGGCATGAAACACAAGCAAGAATTTCAACCCCAAATTGTAGACGGATCA